CTGACATTAGGAGGAAGTGTGGTCCAGAGGACTGCACCGGAAAAAAGCTTTGTCACGGGCCCATGATGATTCTATGACGTCAGCCATGACGTCAAACCTCGAGTGGAATAATTACCACAGCGAAACCACAAGGAAGAAAGCGGGAAGCGGAAAAGCTGATTGTGGGTGAACGCTTCGGTAAGGCCACACTGACTTAATTTTATGGATGGCATCCACGCGCGCATTGATTTTCGCCTGATCTCCAAAAAAAAAAGATCACGTCTTCCGAGGCTCTGGTCTGGCTTTAGGCCCGGGTAGTCCATGGTGGTTAGCGACAACGAAGCCGATGGTAACTCTGGAGGACGGCACCCAGGCTACCGAAGCTCCACGACTCAAGAACTCTGTACATACGTATAGTGTCGATTCATAAATTCCACAAAAAGCCAGCATGTGCCGGCCTGTCGTATACGTCGCTATGTAATGCGCCAAATTCACAATACCGGCTTTGTATTCCAGTGGTTTAGTAGCATTTTTATTTTTGGCCGGATTTTTCTTTTTTTCGCCCGCGCGCACTAGTTTGGGGGTCTTCAGAGGATGTCATCCATAAAATTAAGACGTTGTGGCCTAACCACTAGATTCAATTGAAGAGATCTGTTTATGTGATTACAGTTTCCATAATTGCGGCAGGCGGAGTACATATTTAGCACGACAGAAAGTGGTAAACACTTCAGCGCTTAGGCCACACCAAGTAAATTTTATGGATGACGTCCTTTGGAGACCCTAAATCTAATACGAGAGGGCGAAAAAAAACAAAACAAGAAGGTCCCTAAAAACAAGATGCCTAGATTAGAAATACACTAAGAGACAACAAGTTTTAGGACACAAATTGAATGAGGTGACACAGTGTAACAAGCAAGAAGTCTTTTATTCATCATCAAAACAGCAATAAATCAGGTGGAACAGTGGACAGTGAAAAAAATTCTGTTATTGACAGGATGGTGCTGTCTGTTATTGATATACACTTTCAATATATATCAATATAGACACTTTCTTCGCGTTACGGGTTTAACATCAATCTGGTGATTTGCGGCACTGTCGTGACTCTTTGGTCATAGTTACAGGAAGCGGAATTTCTTGTTTTTTTTTCTAGGAACAGGCCAAAATCAATGCGCGCGCGGACGTCATCCATAAAATTTAGTTGGTGTGTCCTAACCACTAGATTCAATTGAAGAGATCTGTTTATGTGATTACGGTTTCCATAATTGCGGCAGGCGGAGTACGTATTTAGCACGGCAGAAAGTGATAAACACTTAAACCACTTAGCCTCTACCAGGCTTCGGGAGGCGGCTGGAATCGGCCAAATAGATAGATAACATGCCAGGGAGTTTGTCTGCTGGGAGAGAACATTTTGCCGCACCCGAATGTTCTCTCCCAGCAGACAAACTCCCCCGGCATGTTATCTGTCTATTTGGCCGATTTCTAATCTTTCCAGCCGCCTCCCGAAGCCTGGTAGAGGCTAAACCGCTTACATAATCACTGGGAAATGTTAGCCTCCTTCGCAGACTTCTGAGGCAAGCACTAGTGGGGTCGTGTGGCGTAGCGGCAGAGTGCGCGACTCGGAACCTAGAGGTCCCGGGTTCGAGTCCTGACATGCCACTGATCTTGTGCCCTTGGGAAAGGCACTTTACACGGCTTTCCTCACTTCGCTCAGGTGAAAATGAGCATTGTCCTGTCATGTATTTGTCCCTTGTGTTGTTGGCGGCATTAATATAAGTTGATAAAACTTGAATGTGCCGTCACCACGTCTGGTGATTACATGTTGGAATAAAAAATTTAAAAAAAAAGACTTCTGAGGCGGCGGCGTTAATTTTTTTTTCGGGGAGCGACGCGAGTTGTGCAGCGGAGGGACGGTTTTGCGGCCAAGGGACTTTGCCGGGGTTTCGCCGCCTAAGAAACTTCTTTTACTGTTCTCAATCTGCAAAATATAAAACTTCACGGAGAATTGTCGCCTATGGACACTTGTTTCCAGTTTTAGCGAAAGGGTTTCTGTGCACAGTTCTGACTCTAAATTTTGTTCGTTTACTAATATTTTTGGTTGTTTACTGATTACTATGTGGTACAAGATGAATTTATTTATTTATTTATTTCATCTCAAGACGGCTGGGTAGCCCCATTCAGCTTGTATCAGCTGTTTTCCAAGGGGGCCCAGCAAAATTACACAAGACATTGTAACATACAATGAGACAACATACAGTAAACATAAAAGTCCGATTCGTCAAAAGAGAGTAATGAATAAATGCAGATAGTGTGCACCTCGGTGAGCCTTGTTTTTCTGCATGTCGGGAACAACAGGTACAGTGACGCAAAATGACAACAAAACACCTGCACCACCTTTCATGATCACCACTTCTACTGTTGCGCTCATGTGACATTATATATACTGTAGACGTTGACTTTTTAACATAAGGGACACAAAAGACTAGCGTCCAATTTCTCTGTGTACCGTATAATATTCTACTCATGATACAGACCCACACAGTTCTCAAGTAACTTCCATTTATCCAACACAATTCCCCGAACTTGAATTTCAAGTCGACTTGTTGTTGCATGCACCCTACCTGGGGCTTAAGCAAACACTGGTCTACACAAAGACGCTCGCGTATGTTGTATTTGTGCTGCGCACTACCAAGGTTGGTTAGAGGTACAGTATTGCACACAAGTTAGACCAGACGTCTTAGACCGGGAAGAAGGACCGCAAAGATACCTGCATACCTGCATACCGTCTTCGGGTAGGAAAGGCTCAAGCCTGTGTTGTCCAGATCTTCTCTCTATCCTTCGCTTGAGACGTGCATAATGTTTGCCCAGCCAGGTCTTATCCAGTCTATTTTTTGAATTCATTTACTGATTTCGCTTCCACTACTGATTCAGGTAAAGAGTTCCAGTCCTTGACTGATGAAGATGAGGGGATCGCTGGTACTCTTGCTCCTGTTGGTCGCCCTGGTGGCAGTGAATTCGAAGGACACCGAGGCGGAATGCGCATGCCCTCCTGACTGTGAGAATTGCGGACGTTACCGCGAAGTCTACATCTTGGCGAAGCGCAAGGCTCGAGAGCTGGCAGCAGGTATTTTTTTTTTATTCCAACATTTCATGACTAGACATGGTGACGGCAAACTCAAGTTATATCAACTTATTTCATGCCGTCACCAACGCAGATAAAGGACAAATACGGAACAGGACAATGCTCATTTTCACCTGAGATAAGTGAGGAAAGTCGTGTAAAGTGCCTTTCCCAAGGGCACAAGATCGGTGGCATGTCAGGACTCGAACCCGGGACCTCTTGGTTCCGAGTCGTGCACTCTGCCGCTACGCCACACGACCCCACGCAGGTATTGTAGAACTAGCCTCCTGTGCAGGCCCCGCGGCGGTGGGGAAGAGTTTTTAACGCGTTATTTTAATATATTCGGCCATTCTACATAGCCGCCGAGAGAAGGTTCCATTCCGCCCGTGGGCGGCTATGTACATGTAGGATGTTCGGCTATATTAAAATAACGCGTTAAAAACTCTTCCCCACCGCCGCGGGGCCTGCACAGGACGCTATTGTAGAACATACATCCTTCTTTAATCTTAACCACTAGGGAATTGCATTAAAGGCATCCAGTGCAGTTTTTAGGGCTTGGAAAACCAATTTTTCAAAGCCAATACTTTGGTCATTTATCTACATAGTGATTTGAAACCACACTGTCCCAATGTATATTGACTGTCATGGGGTAAAACTCACTAAATTCTGACGGAAAATGCTTCCTGGAAGGGCCCTGGGCTGATTTTTAGGGTACCACCCAGAAAATAAAGGACTCAAATTGGGGCTTGTTTCTGCTGTTTTAAATGACCAAAGTATGAAATGCTGACTCATGAGAAGCAATTTGTGGCAATATCACAAAGACTGCCTTATTCAGAATATTTCCAATTTTGCTACCCTGAAATTGCATTGGATGACTCTAAGTACTACGACTGAATAGCAAGTATACAGGATACAAGTATATATACAGGACACAATATAACAAGCTATTTACATTTCTCGAATCAAGTACCATAGATTTTAAGAGTCTCGATGTTGGAGACAGATTTGAATATATCTTTACATGTAACGGTCCCCACAACGCAAAAATAGGTAGATATATAAAGGAATGCTTTGCTATTAGAAAAAATGCCGAAACTTGTGATTAGCCTACTTGATTGTAACACTTTATCAACGACTTGTGATATCCCTTATTATTTGAATGATTATGATATAGATATGTTAGGTTTTATTCGACATTAGGTCTTATTCAACACACTTATTTTATTGTTGTTACTCTCTTTATGTAGTTTGCCATACAATGTACCATGTGCATTTGTCGTGCAATAAAGTTCTTCCTTTATAACGCAAACGATATCCATGCTATACATCTAGAAAAAAATACGGGTCGTGTTTATTCGGGGAGAGCCACGCCCCACGAACAAGGAATCTACCATTGTGACCACTCCCAAGACCCGACATCGTTTTCTTCTTGTCGGCAATTAGGCCACACCGACTTAATTTTATGAATGAATCCGCGCGCGCATTGATTTTCGCCTGTTCTAAAAAAAAAAAAGATCACGTCCTCCGAGGCTCTAGGCCCGGGTAGTCCATAGTAGTCAGCGACATTATGGAGCCCGTGGTAACCCTGGAGGATGGGACGCAGGCTACCGAAGCTCAGTACACACGTACAGTGCCGGTTCATAAATTCCGCGAAAAGCCAGCATATGCCGGCCTGTCATCGTTATGTACTGCATGCAGCAAATTCACAATACCAGCTTTGTGTTTCTGTGGTTTTTTAGTGGCATTTTTATTTTTGGCCAGAATTTTTTTTGTATTTTTTGTCATCCATAACCTACATCTGATGTAATCATAATATGCACGAATGCCGGTTAGTACTAAAACACAACACTGTTTAACTCCTGCAGATGAGTGCTGTCAGAGGGGCCTTGATTGCTGTGTTGAAGGATGAAGGATGGTCAGACGTCATCCAGTGCTACGCATGCTTCATGACGTAACCGAGCTCAAACATGCATCATTGTCAGAGGCCCCCGTTGTGCTTTAAGTCTAATCTCCAAGCAGATCTTTTAGTGGGGGTAAGACAGTATCAAATTGGCCAGTCTGTAGCCATTTCCCCACCCAAGATCTGCCTGTAGTCGAAACGTCAAAGGCTATTAACACCTAGTTGTTGCCTGATCAAAATATTCTTGCCAAGTAGTTTATTGCCCTGACCACCAGGCAAGGCTCTTGGCTTCATGTGGGCCAGCTGGTTGAGCATTACAGGAAGTCTCTCTATGGGTCCCCTCACCAACTTGGGTGGGGAAATGGCTACAGACTGGCCAAGTTGATACTGTCTTACCCCCACCAAAAGATCTGCTTGGAGATTACTTTAAGCCGTTTGGTGTTTGAAGTGTTTCGCTGTATCAGCTTCTGCTAGCTTAAAACGTTTGGCAGTGTGTACAGAATGTTGTTGATCACCAGAAGCCAAATTTCACATTAAGCATTTTCACAAAGAAGACTCCTCCAATGATTTAGTGACAAAATATTAATTCGTTTGTGAACTATTCAATTCTATAACTAAACATCTGCCCTGTATTGCGCATAATAGTGTTACATTTGACATCTGTAAAGCGACTCTTCAGTTCAAAATGACCATTAACATTAACTATGTGTTAGGCGAAGAGGCATATTTGATAAACTAACACACGAGGAATCAGAAACACTGTGTAACACTCATAGGATGTGTAGGTTTGTACAAGTTTGGCTGTTCAATTGACACTCATCCCAACACTATTCGCAAAACTTTACTTATAGATGACCAAGTGAAAGCAGGCTATAATAGAAAACCAGTACTACAGGTTTACGTAAAATTTGGGAAGTGACTAGACTGTTACTGTAGTAACGCTTCCTGTTCGTTTGAAAACTTTCTGATGATCTGTACGGTTTTGCCTGGCTCGATGTGATCAAGTATAAAGTCACGACACACTGGCTCTTAATCTTGGAAATATTCTGATCTTCATTACTGTGTTACAAGATGAATAAACGCATATTTTGTGTGCACTGGGCCTTGTCTTTCTCTGTGCTGACGAAGCTAGTGTAACAGTGGGGGGTTTATAGGCGCTACCAACTGACCCGGCCAACGGGTCTAGACCTTTTCGGCCGAGCGGTTAGAGCCTCTGGTTATGAAGCTAGCGGCCCGGACCAGAAGGGTTTTTACTGTCTCCTCCTGTTTCTTACACTAGGACGAAAAACGTGTTCCACCTTCCAGTGTCACGACTCACTACTACTACTGTTGCACCGGTGACGTTGTGTACACTTGGCTTTTTTTATAAACAAAAGACTGGTTTCCCGTTTCAGCAAAGGGTTTCTGTGTACCGTATAGTATTCTTTTCGTGATAAAGGGGCGCACAGTTCTCAGGTAACTTCCATTGATCCGACACAAGTCCCTGGGCGTGTAGATAACGCCAAGTTCAAACACAGCTTGTTATCGAAGTAACAGGGAGGTCAACAAGGCAAAAAAATAAACTCTGTATCCGTATCTGTATAGCCGGTATAACCGCCTTTCGGCGTAACACACCAGCTTCTGTATCTGTATAGCCGGTATAACGGCCCTTCGGCGTAACACACCAGCTTCTGTATCTGTATAGCCGGTATAACCGCCTTTCGGCGTAACACACCAGCTTCTGTATCTGTATAGCCGGTATAACCGCCTTTCGGCGTAACACACCAGCTTCTGTATCTGTATAGCCGGTATAACCGCCTTTCGGCGTAACACACCAGTTTCCCAGGCACGCGGCGCGGCGGCAGCTGGCTATATTACACCGATCGACTTGTTACACCTAACCCTTGAACTTCTAGCTCTAGACTTTGTTTAAAGCTATCTATTGACAATGCCCCTATTGTACTTGGTGACAGCGAGTTCCACTCTGCAATAGTTCTAGGAGTTTTACTCGACCCTATTCTAGCACGTACGAAGCGGTACTCCAAGTGCCCCTTGCCCCATATAGTAAAACTCCTAAATGAGTTGTAAACGTAAAATATATAAACAATTAATGTATTACCTCTTTTATCATGTATATATTTTTATGTTGTAGATATCGCAATTCAATTTTATGTATACATTCCTAGCTAGAATGACATTATAAAGTTGTTAAGGTGGGCACTGATGTAAAGAAACATGCAATTCAGCCTCCGGGCTGCAAAATGTTTTTAATCAATAAACCAGTCATCATCATCATCATCAACATCATCTGGGCCAAGTTTTGGGAGCATGTCAGCAGAACGTCCTGCACCTGCGCAAAACCCGTAATGTATTGTACATAGCATTTCGGCAGAATGTCTCATATAAGGTTGTATTCGCTCATATAAGGTTAGCATTTCGATAGTAGTTTCCAAATGTTATGTCGGATAGAATATCCTCTGCAACAGGGAAAATTCTGATGCAACGTTGACCAAAAACCCAACGAAAAACGCGAAAACACGGGGTTCTGGGCAGGCGCAGTACGTTCTGCCGACGTGCTAGTTTTGGGTATTTTGTGTTTCGCGCGCGCGCGTGCGTTCGCGCGCGCGCGTGTGTAGTGTTGCACGATAACTCAAGTGTACAATGTACATATGGATGGATTATTATTATGAATCCTGGTAGGTCTTGATAAGTGGCTGCAATGGTTTTGATATTTTGTGAATTGGACGTGCGAGGATTGAAAATTCGGATGGTAGATGGCTTTTTTTCTTGGAAAAAGTGACATAAGTTTGGTCTCCCTAGCAGCTTGTTATGAAACTGTAGGAGCGTTGAGTTATGTGAGCGACGTGAGTTATGCCGTAGAGGGACGGGTTTGCTAAAAAAGAAGCTGTGGTATGCAAAAAATTACGCCGCCACATCAGAAGTCTGCAAAGGAGGCTAATGGTTAGCGTCTTCCAGCTATTCCAGCTTGATGTGAAGGGGACGAAATGTGTGTTGAGTACATAACTGCGTGAAATGACGGGACTGTCTTCCGTCAATTTAAGGTAATGTCCCGTGCGAACACTCAATCGGACTGTTTCTCTATGGGTTAATGTGTTCCATTAACACAAAAGTCCTCTTATTAGAATGACAAGCGTTTGGAAAAAAGAAAAATAATCCGGACATTATCGTAATCAACCAGTTTTTTTGGCAGCATTCAGTCTTTCAAACGCTTTCTCTACGGTTTGAAGTGTTGAATAAACATTAAAAGCCTTTGATTAAAAGGAAAAACAGTCTCCAAAGTGTAAGTGAAAGGCAAGTGCTCCACCGCCATCGTATTGTAACCGTTGTTGTTGCAATTTGTTGTAACCGTTGTTGTTGCAATTTGTTGTAACCGCTGTTGTTGCAATTTGTTGTAACCGCTGTTGTTGCAATTTGTTGTAACCGCTGTTGTTGCAATTTGTTGTAACCGTTGTTGTTTCAACTTGTTGTAACCGTTGTTGTTTCAACTTGTTGTAACCGCTGTTGTTGCAATTTGTTGTAACAGTTGTTGTTGCAATTTGTTGTAACCGTTGTTGTTGCAATTTGTTGTAACCGTTGTTGTTGCAATTTGTTGTAACCGCTGTTGTTGCAATTTGTTGTAACCGTTGTTGTTGCAATTTGTTGTAACCGCTGTTGTTGCAATTTGAATCGAGAAGTAGCAAAACCGCTACTTGATCCTGTAGCGGAAGACGGGGTCGGTGCTGGGCGGAAGGATACCGAGCCCGGTGCGTGATTGGTCCAGCGGAGGGGTTTCCCTGTCCACCAACTCCATGTCGAAGTAGCAGACGATCAGAGACACGAACTGTTTGATCTCGTTCACGGCGAAGAAGCGGCCTGGGCAGAACAGAACAATGTACAATATTCAAATATTACAATATGTACAGGTATTTTTGTTAGAATCAAATCGTTTTTTGTCAGCATTTATATATATCAGTTTCACTCGTTCACCGATTCATTATTGTATTCAATTTCAATATGTTAATCTGTGCTTTGTCTGTCGTATGTATTGTCTGGTGGCGACATGAACATAAGTGTAACTTGAGTGTGTCGTCACCGCGTCTTGTCATTATATGTTAAAAAAAAGAACAAACTAGAAAGGCCAATATTTGCTTTGGAGCAAATACAGCGATGGGTTCACCACATTTTACGACATGGCAGGGAAAGAATGGGAAACACAAGGGAAAACAATGATTTACATTGATATAACTATAATATGAAGTAAAATACAACTAAAACAACAGTTGGATAGCTATTCCCTACTTTATTGGTTAGGATTTTTAATTGCATAATGCAAACTGTTGATTTTCAAAATAAAAAAAAAACGTCCATGCCCGGCATTCCAATGCTGGAGCAGGAAAGCTTGAAATACCTACCAAAACACTTGAATACAGACATACTGTCAGAAATGCTTCTGTGCAGGTGTTAA